TTATTTTATATGTGGAAATGTTCATATTGGAAAGGGTAAATACTTTTTCCCGATCAGGTAATTTCATATATGTTCTTTTTTTACCGGGTTTAAAGATTGAGAAAATTGTCATGTATTTTCGTGAAATTTTTCTAATTTATGAGAAAAAAGCAGTGTACATGGATATAGTGAAGAGTGTGCGCAATGCCATTTTTGTGCAATTGTGGGATGTTTTTTTTAAGTAAAAATAAGTCGACGTGTACATGGTTTATGTGTATGTGTTATTTTGAAAAACGCGTAAGAAGTATGGTATTGTGCACTTTTTCCCAATTTTGCAGTGAATATTTGTCATGATTAAGCAGTTTTGTTAGATAAAATTTCTAGCATAAGTGTAATTCGGCTAGTAGATTGTTGGAAGAAGTGTTCAGTAGATAAAAAGAAAAGAAACATGTCTTTACTTCGTGAAGACAAAATGGCGACGGGAAAAAAAAAATAAAGGGTTGCTGTAGGAGAGTTTGTCACCAAATTTTCGCCAAAAAAACGCCAAGTTACCATAATGTAAAGATCAACCAAAATTGCTTGTGTAAAATGAATGTTTTAAATGTATTATTTAGTAATGAATCCATTAATCTATAAAATATACAGTAGCGCTAATTATTAAACATAATTTTGAGAATATCAACAAGCAAAGCACGTAATGAAAAAGACACTTTTTACTAAAAATATTAGTATTCTGTATGAATGACAGAGAATATATGTAATGAATACTATGGCCAAATACTATACAAAGAAAAAAAAAGTATTCTCTACCTCAACACTTGCAAAAGTAATCCTGCTATGCAACACATAGTTAATTTCTGATTACATGATATTGCAAGCATTTTCTTCAGAATTTTCCTACAACTGATATTTCATATCATGGTTAAAGGGCAGGCTGCATGGTTGATTTTTCTAGTTTACCTCATATGTAATGCAAATACAAGCCAGTTTCCCTTAGAAAGTTGTTCAAAACAGCATCTTTCTTCAGGTCCATATTTGAATAACCTAAACTTTCCTTCAGATTCTACATTGACATGATGTATCTGTTGTAAGCAGGACAATGATCATTCCGCCTCTCAGGAAGTCTCTTCAGTGTAGCAGGAGTGTATTTAAAAAATGTCAGAATCATGGGATTCATAACAAAATCGACCATGTTTTAATCTTGAAAACTTTATAAATTTTCCCGATTTTCTTACGTCATGGGTTTCACTAACAAGATATTCATACTTTTGTTCAGGTTCATAAGCAGTTGAGCAATACAATTCTGAATACTGGTAGTTTGACCCAAGTTTGAATCTTCAGTATTCAGTATCTTGGGCCATCACACTGTCATGCCCCCTTAAGTTATTACTGCTTGGCATAATAACAATCTCACTTGACCATGTTATCCACTTTGTCAAAATTAATATATCAGCTGCAGTCTCTCCAAAGACTCTCACTATAAAAGAGATTTAAAAAGATCTTTCTTAGAATACAAATAGGTTTGTCAACATCTGGCAACAATTCATGAACTTTTCACGCAAAGCATTTACGACTCATTTCAGATACAACATTTTGAGAAGTGTTTCATCTACCTTTTTCAGTATGGCTGCATCATTCAAAAGAAAATGATGTTGTATGTTTAATTTCATTAGGCCTGATGCAGAATAAAATACTGGAACTGCTGGTTTTTAATAAGTCTAAAATACTGGAACTGCTGATTTTTCTTAAATCTGTTAGAAGAAATTATTTCAATGATATCCTAGAACTGCAATTATTGTAGGGTACATATTAATTTGTCAACAGCGTTGGTTATTTCATAAATGGAAATGAGAATATTCTTTTTCCATTCTCACTTTGGATATTCTAAATTGCACTAATGTATACAGCATTGAATTATGTCCATTTTAAGGTAAATTTGCGGAATATCATTTCTTACAAGTTTCCAAACATCTTTTCAGAAACAGACTTTCTTACAAGATTTAGATGATGAAGATATATTTAGTGATCATCAGTCTGAATTCGAAAAACAGTGCGACTCTTCAGAAGACATTCCTTGTGATCAAAGTGACTATTTTAGAGGAAAAGATAAAACAACAAAATAGAAGAAAACGCTTTTGAACTCAAAGATGCATGGTGTCCCATAATATCATACAAAAATTGCCTGGCAATACACATATATCTAAAGATGTGGCTTCACCCATTGATGCATGGAAGCTAATATTTGATGACACAATAATTGAAATGATTGTGAAATGCTCTAATATTTATGTAAAAAATATTTCAGGAAATTTTAAAGAGATGTGAAACCTATGGAGAAAGAAGTGTTTCTTGCTTTTTTAGGACTTATGTAAATCCCATTCCCATTATCTATCCTCCCATGTAAATGTTAAGAGAATTATGGGTGACTGATGGAACAGGATTGAATATTTTTCGTAAAACGATGAACTATAAACGTTTTCTTTTCATTCGTGCCTTATGATTTGATGATGTCGGAACACGGGATGGCAAAAGAAAGAGTGATAAATTAGCTCCAATAAGAGATTTATTTGAAAATTTTGTCAAGAATTGTCAGAAATTATATCATGTAGGGGAATAAATGACTTTGGACGAAAAGCTAGAACCTTTTCAAGGACGATGCACCTTTCTTAAGTATATGCCTAAGAAACCTGTAAGATATGGTATAAAGATATTTACTGTGGTTGATTTTAGAACCTTCTATACTTTCAACATGGAAATTTACTCAGGTCAGTAGCCAGATGGGCCATACAAGAAAGTCAACAGTTCTTGTGAAAAAGCAAAACGCATCCTAACTCCATTATACAATTCAAGAAGAAACATTACCACAGACAGTTGGTATACCAGTTTATAAATTGGCCAATTTCTTACAGGAAAATAAAATATCTATCATAGGAACATGGAAACTATCATTGGATGCAGGGATGGGAAGATTATCCCACCTGAATTTGTGTCGAATAAGAATAGAGAACAGCATTCAACCCTCTTCGGGTTTCAAAAGGATATGCTACTTTCTTATATGGCTAAAAAGAACAAATGTGTCAACTATGCACAATGATGACCATATTGATGAAAGCACTGGAGATTTGAAAAAATCTGAAATAATTATGCTTTATAACATGACAAAAGGTTTGGTTTATTGAGATTATGGCAAAGTACACTAGGGCTATCTGCCTAAAGGGAGGGATGCCTTCATGGAGGACTTTCTAAGGGAACATTGCGATGAGTATTTAACAGGTCATTCAAAGAAAATATATAGTTAAACGTAGTATATACTATGTATATACAAACATAGTATATAGTGTATAGTATATATATAGACGTTCTTCGGATATATATAGACTTTCTTTGGATATATATAGTGTATAGTATATATATAGACGTTTTTGGTGTTGGCGATAATTTTCAAAGTCGCGCCAAGGCTGCACCGTATACTAGGATTTTACCAAGAAACGGGAATGGATACCGACTATGTGCAATTCTTCATAACTCGCCAAGCAATTGGTGATTCTGCACTTTCCCCAAGAAACAAGTCAGACAAGAAAATTCCCAACAACACCTAACTAATTGAAGTTACATTTTTCCTATGCAGTTACACTACAGAATCTCTTTATACTTTCCCTACATAACTACAATAAAAATTATGAAGTTCATTTGCACTAAGTGACAAGCGAATTACGCCAGCTTCATCGCAGAAAGAACATACAATGAGGAACGATAAACGATTACAAACTCAGGATTTTAGTGACTATAAATTTCTATCACAGAATAAAATTTTATAAGTAAAACATAAAATTCTCATAAATAAATAACTTTAAATGATGCAGACAATTTACAGTATCGAAAGACACGTGGACTCCTCTAACAACATTAGGCTTAAATACTTCTTAAACCAGTTTAGGTACAGAAACACAAAATATCATATTAAATCATATATTAATTTACTTACACGGGCTAATTTCACTTTGTCCATCTTAAATTACTTCAATACGATTAAATTACACAACAGCAAATTAAGCGGCCTAAAACACACTACAATACCCAAGTAAATCAGACTTAAAGCATGTTGCCACAATGACCAAATTAAAAACTGACACTCGTGAAAGCTAGTTTCCTAAAACACACTACAATACCCAAGTAAATCAGACTTAAAGCATGTTGCCACAATGACCAAATTAAAAACTGACACTCGTGAAAGCTAGTTTGTTCACTTTAAAAGTTCAGGTTACTTTAAAATTCGTGTAAAAGTTATTATCTAGAATACGGTATGGTTCATATTATTGAGGTCGTTGAAAATTACGTTACAAGTATAGCAGGGATCCAAATTAACTTTACTTCAAGAAATTCAGTTTTGAATAGGCCTTTACGCCTTTAAGGAAATTAGAAATTTTAAAATAATAAAATGTTATATAAAGCTTAAAAAGCGATGAATCCATTTTTAAATTTTGATTAGACGTAAGAAAAATTATTAAAAAATGTATGGCAATATTTTTTTTTTAATTTGAGAGAAGAGGCATTGTGGCATTTAATATGATTTTTCCTGTAAGTAGCGTATCTTAGGTTTGTTTTCGTTTTTAAAGAATTGCTAATTTTATGAGTGTGTTTGTAGGTTACCAGTAGAATATGGCCGTACCCCCAAGAGATGTGGCTCCTTTTCTAAGATGGTTTAGAAAAGTTTTATTAGGTGTAGGTATTCTATATTCAAACAAATTTTTTTTTTTTTCTAATTTAAAATGTATTTTATCTAGTATGCATTCGTTATTTCAGCGATATATTAATTTTGTGGAATAATTTTTACCGTAATATTTAATAAATTTGTGTATTATTTTGTTATGAGTCTTATTATAATAATTTATTAATTGTTAAAACTATTGTTTCTGTCCTTTGGGAAAAGACCTTCAGTTGACATTAGCTTTTCATCGTTGCGTGTTGACGTTGTTTTTCTCTTTAAAAATTAAATGTGTATTCTTTTTGTGTATTTTTAGAGAGACCTTAAGAATGCATTGAGATTTCAGGATAAATTAGCCACTAGGTAAGTAAAATTAAAAAATTTAACATATCAAACTTCTTAAAATATGTGAATCATCTACTGTATTTTTGTGTGAGAACCTCAAGATTCTTGTAGTGTGTTGCCAAGTTTTACAAATACATACAATAAAAATTATTGGTTAAATCCTAATATATGGTACACATGGGATTTGGTGACTTTATGATGAGCAGTCAATGAGTCATTCTGGTGTTTGGCAACAATTTTTTGAGTCGCCCCCGAGGCCGTACCGTACACTAGGATTTTACCAAATTATTCTGCATGTACTTATATAATGGTGTGACTCTTCTTGTGCAGTGCAACATTTTTATTTTCCTATGCATCATGTGTACAATTGCACCTTAACATGATAAGACATCACTGTCAATACCCATACATAAGTAAATAGTTTAGATACTTATTTTAGTCGAATCTAACTTTCTAGCAGGGAGTGGCTGAACAAATCAAAACTTAGGTTGATCTTTAGATTATGGTAACTTGGCGAAAATTTGGTGACCAACTCTCCTACAGCAACCCTCTATATTTTTTCCCGCCGCCTTTTTGTCTTCACGAAGTAAAGACATGTTTATTTTCTTTTTATCTACTGAACACTTCTTCCAACAATCTACTAGCCGAATTACACTTATTCTAGAAATTTTATTTAACAAAACTGCTTAATCATGACAAATATTCACTGCAAAATTGGGAAAAAGTGCACAATACCATACTCCTTACGCGTTTTTCAAAATAACACATACACATAAACCATGTACACGTCGACTTATTTTTACTTAAAAAAACATCCCAGAATTACACAAAAATGGCATTGCGCACACTCTTCTCCATATCCATGTACACTGCTTTTTTCTCATAAATTAGAAAAATTTCACGAAAATGCATGACAATTTTCTGAATCTTTAAACCCGTTAAAAAGAACATATATGAAATTACCTAATAACGAAAAAAGTATATACCCTTTCCAAATATGCATTTCCACGTATAAAATAAATAAAATATCCAAAAACTTTTACCTCTAAATTATCTATTATATTGTAAACGTCACAACGAATTCATACCGCAAACATTACAAATACTTAGTGTCAAATATTTAAATTATTTCCATGCACGTTTACTTCACTAAAACGTATACCAAATCCCTACAAACATAAAATTCACAAAATAACTATCATTTAATTAAAATATAATTAAATTCAAAAAACACTACTTAAAATATAAATAAGCACATACATTAAATTAATAAAAATTAGCTTACAATCCTAATTACTTTAAACTAAATCATTGCTAATAACAATTTTCCCAATAATACCAAATTACTTTACTTCCACTTTACATTTAGAACAATGCATAAAAATAATATCCTCAAATAATTAAAAATACTAACTTACCTAATCTTCTTCAGAATCTTGCTTTCATGGTAGATACACTTTTATTATGGACCTACACTCATGCACCATTCAACCAATTCTTTTGAATTATCACACAAACGCATTAAAAATCTAGAATTCACTTTAGACAGTGCCATACAATCCCAAAATTATTCAACCCTACTTCACACAACACACAATGAAGCTTAATACAAAATAATATACAGCCACAGATATTTTTCCAAATTCCCCCCTTTTCCGATTAAAGAACCGTAATTTGTCCATTAATATCACATGACTTATCCCATGATCTCTCATTTCCCTCACACAAAATAATGCGTAATCGGAACTGAGTACTGCTCACATTATTACCAAAGTCCCAGGTAGTAACCTTTATCACCTCCAAAATGTTGCCAAACTACCAGTTACCATATTCTAAAGATCAGCCAAAACTTATTCCATGTTCCTGGTTTTAACCAAAGTGCAGAACTTTTAATCCCAAACCTGTCCGATAGAAACCAAAACAGCAAATTTGAATTGGGTTTCATTATTATAGTCCTGGGTTTAATCCAAACAAAGCTTTGTCGCTCATGTCAGCAGACACTGTACATCAAGGAGAAATTGCAGAATTATAGAAGGGAGAAGGAGATATATCCCTCTTTCATTTATTCTTATTCCCAATGTAACATTCGCTGGTACAACCAGTGTACTAGCATAGTCTACTACAGTCTGTCTACCAGAACTGTTGTCGCCAATATGTCTAGTTGCTTGTTTCCACTATTGCAATGGGGCTGCTATATTTTAAGTAGGGGGTGAGCCAAGTGATTGTTTTATTCTTATTTTGTTTTTGGTGAATGTTTGCTTCAGGAAAAGTAAAGTTTAAACAATGTCGGTTCATCATGAAGTGCACCAAGATGGCAGACAGAAAAGTAATTCTTTAAGGCACCTCCATGAAAAATGGATTAGGGCTTATTTATTGCACAGCAACAGGCAGGCGCAGACTATCAGTCAAGAGCTTTTCATATAACAGACAGGCAATTCCCTATTTCATGTATGCTTAGGTTACAACTGATATATTTGCTTTCAAAGGTACAGTACCTCAGTATTGTCAAACTTAATTAAAACAGATTTAAAGGTAATATACAATATGTTATTTTTTTATTTTAAAAGCACCTATAAGTAAAATGATGATGTTAGCAATCAGACTTATGATCCCAAGCTCAGTAAGGATGTTTCCTTCACTAAAATATGTAATGTTCATCGCAAGTACAATGACAAGTTCTTAAATTAGAATTTACATCTGTGACAGAAAGTGATCAAATGGTTCCCGAGTGTCTGGAGATGGTTATAAATTGTCAAACTATGGTTCTGAGGAAGCTTGAGTGTTGCTTGCAAACTAATCATCCTTAGCTTGCAACAAAAGACAAACTCATTATCTGCAAGATCCAAATAAATAGAGATTTTTTTTTAAGAGCAATTTAGTGTATGTGAAAAAGCACAAATAACTTCTTTTGATATGATTGAATTAATTGCTCTTAAATTAAAAACATAATTTGGTTGACAAAATTATATTACCTGCTGTCATAAAATTATAAAAAGAAACTTTCAGATGATGCGTTTCATCACAAAACTGTAGAATTGCCCCAAAATAGTGAAGAAAATGCTGCTAAAACTCTTACACAGTGTTGCCACGCTACCTGGAAAACCGGGGGGCCAATTTTCGCAGCTCCAATTTGATTGTCCTTTAGAAAGGCAAAGCAACTTTTGGTTTCCAGTATTCTCGAGAATCGCATGTGCAGTGCATGAACTAAAGAAAGTACCTGTTCTCGTATAAAACAAAATGGGTTTAATCCTAGTATACGGTACCATGGAGGTTAGAATCAAAGAATATGTATTGTAAAGAAGGAAAACCTCTCTGCAACAGACGTGGCTGTGGCTCCGTTCCATCATAGAGGGAAACAGCTGTGCATGTCTGATATATCTGTTGCCAAAGCTCGAAACCGGTGTCGAAGTTCGAAGGTCACGTTATCAAGAGTTCATAAAATGAATATCGTTTAAAATTTCTTTAACCACTTGTGCTAAAAAGACATGCCACGCACGTCAAGATGCTTTTGTCTCAAAAAAACGCGAGCGACGTGAACACCACGTCGATAAGCATTTATCGCAAAAATGAAATAACGTGGTGCACACGTCGCCTAACAACGAGATTGTTTATTTCTCGAGTTACAGCTCTGGATTGCACTCGCAGATGCGGAGCAGCGTAAATGAGACACTTTACCGCATGTTATATTGTAGCGCACTGCACCGCAACCGTGAAGTTTAGTCTTAGCGGAAGTGGTTAACAAACTCTAAAGGAAAAGAAAATATTTTTTGGCACAAGTAAATTAATTCATGGATTAATTATTTTTCAGGGGAAAAAAAAAAAAAAAAAACTACGAAAATCCGTTTTTAAAATTATTGCGAAAAATCCAAGAAGAAACGTCCTTTGATAAAACGTTTCTTCTTGGATTTTTTTGCAATAATTTTAGAAACGGATTTTCGTAGTTTTCTTTTTGTCAAAGAGCGTTTCTTCTTAACACGTGTTTCTCAATTTCCTGTACACGTCACGGAGAGGGAAATTCTGGCCGCCAGGTTCCGTCGCCAAATTCCTTGGCAAATTTTCCCTCCGCATTCTAGCGGCGTAATAGCATTTCACTTGTATGATGCGCAATAAACGGGTCATTTTGGTCTTGGCGACAATTTTCAAAATCGTGCCAAAGCCTTACCGTATACTAGAATTTTACCGCAAAATCTTTTTAAAACCTTTTTTTTTTTTTTTTCTTTTTAATAAATACCTTGTCATTTTGCAGTAAAATAAAAAAATAGTAATCAGTCATCTAGGCTAGCCATGTAATATAACTATATTCGCTAAAATATTGTTGATTATTCTAATTCAATTTTTAAGTAATTATTTTTATGGTTTTCATATAATTTAATGTTGCTTCTTCCCTCTAAATTTATTTATTATTAGTAAATAATATTTCCAAATTTCAGGAAATTTTCTCTGTCATAATCCTGAAATTAATTATAGCAGTATGATGACATACCATCACGAAATTTAATGCACATATTTTTTCCTTATGTATGCTGCGAAATAAATATAAAATACCTCAATTTATTAAAATAGATTTCTTTCTTTCGTTTAGCTGCAGAATGTCTGCAAAAAAAAGCCTTATTTTATTCCAGATTGGGAAGATTCTAATCTCAATCTTCAATGGAGAAAACAACAACTATTATAATTATATTTGTGTTTTCAAGTGTTAAGGTGCCTTTTAAGAACATACCTCACGCAAATTAAATTTACCTAAAATCTAACCGAACTATTTAGCATTGCGTTGTGATTTATAAGGACCGGATTAGCCTTGTGTTGAACTGGTGATGATCATGAGTAATAATTAAATAAAACATACATTTGTTATCCAATATATATATCTTAAATTTTATAAAATTTCTTAAGTGGAAAACTAACAAATTATCAAACAAAGTATACCAATAATTAAGAATAAATGTCCTCTGAGATTTATTGAATAATTAAGTGAATTTGCTACACAATACAAGTAATACCATAATTAATTTACATCTTAGCACAGTCAACGTACATTACGCGGATAGACTGAAATTTTCTTGAAACACACCTGGAAAACCTGGAAAAGTCGAGGAATTTCATTCTCCTGTTTGAGTGGCAACCCTGCTTACAAATTCAAATTTCGCTTTAAAAATCTATAAAACAAGGAATACTACAGGAAAAGCACAATTAATTGCATTAGTTCAATTCATTCTCAAAAGTAATATAATTAATCAATTTTTATGCCATTAATTATCTGATTCAACAACAGGAAAACATATTTTCCATGAAATTAATTCATATTTACAAGAAAATTAAATTTCCTAGAATTTGTTTCATAAATGCTTATTAATTTTTGTTAAACAATTTATCATATAACTGTTATTATTATTATTAGATCACCTCCTCCACCAAAATTACCTGATGGTTCATCTCATAAATTGTTTGGTAATTACTATTTTACTCGAGATGGAAGACGTCAAGCTCGTCCTCCACTGATCCTGATAGAAGGAACAAAAAGGAAAGCTATTACAGCTGGTGTCGAAGAAAAGTAAGTATTTTGTAGCTTTGCATAATAATAATAATAATAAAGATCACACATTTGTAACATCAGTAAATATTTAATATAATTTAATTGACATTATAAATTATTATTTCATTATCTGTAGCATTACTTAAGTTTTAAGCAATTTTTTTTTTCTTTTGTGTAAAATGTGCTCTTTAGAATTAGAAAACAGAATGCATGTGTACAATACAGATGAGTTGTAATGTCGAATCTTTATTATTATATTATCATAAATCTTTAATGCTATAATAATAAATTATCACATTATACATATAGCATTTCTGAGCTTTATTGTTATAGTATATTCAGCAAATAAAGACAAAAAATTTGTTTTTGCTACTGAAAGAAATTAGAGTTGTTTTTGTTGTTCTTGTATACATGGGTTAGCAGTGAGAAGATAATACAATTTAGAATGGGTCTAGGACTTTTGGCCATTTTAAAATTATTGTACTTTTTTGCTATTCTTATTTTTAATATTTAACATTTGATAAATAATCTTTTGCTTACCTTTCTTGATGATTTACAAGACACTTGGAATTCTTTGCCATTTTGTTTTTTACACAGAACTTTATTTTACAACTATTTACAACAAAATGCTTACATAGAATTTTCATCATTTTTCTTTTGTTGCCACTACATTTTTATCAAAATCCGCAATGCAGTAGAAAAACTATAACGATCATAAAAATAAAAAGGCCACGCCTCTCGCGGCCAGTAGCATAGCCAGGATATCGCTCCTTTACCAACCAAAAAAATAACAGAGGCAAATCCCTTCGAAGTGGTAGGAGTTGATTTTGATGGTCCTATGAGTACAAAGGATGAAATTGGGAAGGCTTATATTGCTCTGTATACATGCGCTGTAACAAGAACTGCGCATTTGGAACTAGTGTCTAGCCAGACCACAAAAAATTTTCTTCTGTCCTAGAAGAGTATATCGAATGGTATACTCAGACAATGCAAAAACCTTTAAAAGAGCAGAAAAGGGTTTACAAAAACTATGGAATACCATCAAGGACAGAGAAGTTCAAAATTATTCTGGTAATAAAGGTATTAAGTGGAAATTCGATGTAGAAAAGACGGCCTTGCTGGGCAGTTTCTGGGAAAGGCTTATTAGATCTATAAAGTCATGTTTGAAGAAAATATTCATGAAGGCTTCACTTAAATTTGAAGAGCAGGAAACAATTTTAATTGAAATTGAGGCAATATTGAATTCACGTCCGCTGACTTACGTTCTTAGTGAAGTCAGAAAACGAGAACCGCTAATACCAGCTCATTTAAGTTAAATGAAGACTGACATGTTTACCATAAGGCAAATTTCTTAAACCCGATTCAACAAAAGAAAAATTAACAAGGCAATATAAATACGGGTTAAGGTTATTAGAAGGTTTTGGGAAAAGATGGAAAGGGAAATACTCACTTGAAATTAGAAACGTAAAGCAAATTCAGAGAGGTAATGCTGTAACATATCTTTTGAAGGGATCTGTAGTTTTAGTACATGCAAGAAAAACTACCAAGATTATTATGGAAGATGGGAGTTGTACAAGAGTGTCATCCAAGACAAGATGGAAAAATAAGGGCTTACATTATCTGTGAAGCTAATGGAAAAAAATTATCCGTTTAGCTTCATTATCCTGTGCAGCTATTGTACCCAATACATATGACTAGAACTCTTTGAACAGAACACAGTGAATTTAAATTTTGAACACTGCATCTATGAATACATTAAAAACGTTAAAGTTTAAGATTACTTCACAATCCAATCCTTTGATGAACTTGAAATTAGAAACGTAAAGCAAATTCAGAGAGGTAATGCTGTAACATATCTTTTGAAGGGATCTGTAAATTTTGGAAAAGGCAGAAAAACTACCAAGATTATTATGGAAGATGGGAGTTGTACAAGAGTGTCATCCAAGACAAGATGGAAAAATAAGGGCTTACATTATCCGTGAAGCTAATGGAAAAAAATTATCCGTTTAGCTTCATTATCCTGTGCAGCTATTGTACCCAATACATATGACTAGAACTCTTTGAACAGAACACAGTGAATTTAAATTTTGAACACTGCATCTATGAATACATTAAAAACGTTAAAGTTTAAGATTACTTCACAATCCAATCCTTTGATGAACCAAGAGTACATCGAAGAAGAGGATGCTACAGTGTTAATGATCGATTGAAATCTAAAACTAATTCGCTAGCAAGTATTCTCAGTAACAGTGGGCATAACAAATAGTTGTAAAGAATTCGAAGTAACGTTAAGGGAATCAAGGCCTCTAATTTCAATTTTTAAACTATCATATAAGTTATAATCATCCATTTTTTTGACTGGCTTTAAATTCAGCTGATGATTCATATGTGTTTATTAAAATTTTCTATCTGCCAAAACTTTCTTTCAGATTATTTATTGCTTTGGCGTAATTTTCGGTAACTAATGGTAAGCCCTTTATTGACATTAAAGACTGTGTCCGTTAGTAAAGATTTAAGGTACTTTATTTTACAACTATTTACAAAAAAATGTTTACATTAGAACGTTCATCAGTTTTCCCTTGTAGCCACTACATTTTCATCAAAATATGCAATGCGGTTAAAAAAAATATATATAATGAGCATAAAAATAAAAAGGCCACGCCCTCTTGTGGCCAGTAGCATTAACTGTAACAGGCCATCACCATTTCACCATGGCCGTTTCACCATCGGGACATTTCGCCGTCAGTATGTTTTGCCGTGGGGACGTCTCGCCGTCAGTATGTTTTGGCGTCGGAATGTTTCGCCACCAAGACATATTTTTCTTTACATGACTGTATTTTATCTTGTCATAATATATTAGTTTTATTTTGTTTAATAATTCTGTTTACTTTTTGTATACTCAATAACGGTTGCTTTAAATATGTATAGTTATTTACAAGTATGAGATGTAAAGAAATTACACATAGTTGGAAAATTATATCAGTATCAAAGAGAATCGGGGCTAAACTTCTGATATAACAGAAGTTATATTATCAATTTTAAAATTATGCTGGTACAATATTTACATGATTCGTCAAAAGTTCTTGAAATTTTAATTGGCTAGTTCAGAGAAATCATTCGTACAAGCCATATTTTGACAGCACCTTACTCTCTTAAAATTAATATGTCATGTGCAACGGTGTGTTTGTATAAAACTGTACACAGAAACATTTTATATATTATTTTATATACAATGTTTATTAAATTATTTTAAAGTAAACAAAGTTATTAATTTAAATCAACTTAATATAATATGGCAAGATATAATACAGTCGTGTAAAGAAAAATATGTCTTGACGCCGAAACATCCCGACTGCGAAGCAGCCCGATATCGAAATGGCCACCCGAACAATCCTATTTCCGTTTAAAACACGATTCCCGAATCAGACTTTCCCAAAGGTCCAAACGACTGCGGCCACTAGCTCTGGTGCCTCAGGTCCATACAGGAATTCCTGCAGTGGATCAATGAGTTGTATCATTCTGAGTTTTAAAATATTTGTGGTGAAAGGCAGGCACTGAAAGATATGTCTTGCTTTCAGCTGTAATTCGGGGCAGTTTCTGCAGTTGATAAATGATCTTAATTTGTTCTGATGAGTTTTCATACCCTTATAATGATTTGTTCTTAATATAACTATTATGGATGTTATGTTTCTAGGGCAATCCGAGTCTTTGACAAGTGGCTTCTTAAAACTACGAGTTGGAAGTTTTTATCTGGCTAGTGCATTTGTATTAATGAATGTGATGGAGATATTGGATTATTCAAGATCTCTGGTTTCTTTAACCAGAGAATCAGCACACTTATTTCCCTGAATGTTTACATGTGCAGGAATCCATTGTAGCACACAAGATTTTTCTCTGCTGTGTAGCTGCTCTATTAGAAAATTAATAGCTGAGGTGATGTGAATATTTCTGTTTCTGATAGCTTTCAAGGCCAATTTAGAATCTGAAAAGACAACAAAACCCTCTGCAGTGTCCACAGGTTTGCTAGTCAGCTAGATATAAAGCGAGGGCCTCCCTAATCGCTCTAAGTTCACTAGTGAAGTCCAAGGCAATCATACCTGTACTAATTTTGTTCGTATATATATTACCATCCAGAAAGAGGAAGAGAATGCCAGCATTTCCTATATTGAGGGATTTATCTGAGAAACAGTTGGAATAAATCAGATACGTATCAAATATATATGAATTAATATTAAGTAGAAATAAGATTACATGAGATTAGCTAAACATTGCTTTTTCGACACTACCAGCTACTGCTGTATGCTACAGTTACAGTTAAGTGTTTTATGTTACAATTATAGTTATATATATGGCACCTTCCTTTTTAAGAGAAATGAGGAATTATACATACTGTTTTAAATAATAAAGTTTCCTAGAAGTTTTACCAAATTGAGTAGCATAGTTATGTCAACATGCAGACCTTGGTGACACAACACTTCTGTTACCTGCAGGAAAATGTACAGGTATCTCTAAATTTGTATTGCTACTAATCTCAGAATAATCTCTCTACTTTTCTCCCCCTCCTTTTAGCTTTTCCCTTTCTTATTTATAAACACGTTATCTCCTACCATCTGTGGTTTTAATACTTGCATTCCTATCATAATAACTTTTATGTAAGCTTTGTTTCTTCAGTGTATATTGCTTTGCTTCTCATAATAGGTTAGTTTGGATGAAAATTTAGTCATTCAGCTGGAAAGCTCAAGTAACTGGAATATTTTAGAACTGTAGAAACTTTTTTCCCTGTAAAATTTAGTAAATGAGATATTTGTATTGCCATTACAGAGCTAGTAATACCATTAACATATATACATTATTGGTAACAGTGTGATTTAACACCAGTAACGAATAGGAATGATGCCACAGCACAGTGCAATTTTAAAAAGTTCATTTTGGTTTAATATAAATTCTTTTAATTGTGAAACGCTAGTTTAATTTTTGTAAACAAGGATACAAGTTCTATTTTTTCCTCAAATTTCAAAAAAAGGATTATTATATGGGACTGCATGAAGTAGAATATTTTCAAAAGTACAGGATCTGAGCATCAAAATAGGCCATTACTTTGAGCCATTACTTTGAAAGCAGATAAAAAATGATCATGTAATGGAAAAATTAATGCAAGTGATTAAAGTTTTTATATGCTATATCCATAATTTGTATCTTTTTATTATCTAATTAAATAAAACATTATATGTTCTTTTAAACGTCTACTGCTGTGATTGGTGACATGTCCAGCAACTTTCATATTTAGTGGGATTTCATAATTGAATCAGGCTTAAGAAATACTTGTATATTGTCTATTATGCCTGAAATGAGTTTTCCCCGATAAAATCGTAATTTTAAAGGTAGACTAATGTAGACTTAACATTACTGAGCAAAGATTTTGAGCACTATTATAAAAAAAGGAACTATTAATGCAGTTTTTATAAAATTTTGCTATTTTGACATAATTTAAGGCATTTGTAGCTGCCAACTCTAGAGTTTTTCATCACATCTCCCAGTAGATCACAGAAACTCCCTGTTTTTAACTGCTTGCCTGATTATCCAGAGTTATCTCGGGTTCGTACATAATGCAGTTAATTATTATCCCGAGAAAACTCGGGCACAGCAGAATTTGTCAGTACAATTTGTTTTATCACAGTTTTACTCAGCCTGGAGGAAATATTCAGCTATGATTGGTAGTTTGTTGGTTTCGTGGTTCTTTTGGCACCACTGGTCACATGTTTTCCTGTTGTATGGTATACGTCAGCTTGTGGATTAGTAATGTATAAAGAGGGATAGTTGTGTTGAAAAAAAAAATAAAATTGCGGGTATAATGCAAGATAGTGCAAGCAATGATTTTTTTAGATAGTGATTACGAAGAGGTGGACATTTTCTGGATGTTATTCGTGCTACTAAAAGCCTATGATTGCCTTGAAAATCAGTTTCCTGCATTTATTAGTGAACTATTCCCTGAATTACATGGCAGTCGTCGAATGACGTTTTTGACTCCTACTTTGCAAAATTTATGTGGTATTGCTGCTCAGGTAGAATCAGCTAGAAAAGAAACTATTTCAAGATTAAATTCATTGCGTAAAACTTATGTGTCATAGTCGTATAACATTGGCAATGAGACGTAGCCACAAAAAATGAAGGTAAGTACTTCTGTTGTTTTGTAATCTGTTTTCGACATTGTTTTGAATAACAGCTATCTTGGAAATATTACTCCTTAGTTCCATTCATGGCATGAAAAAAATCGCCGAAAATATCAAGGGGTGCCCGATTATAAATTTTTAACATTTGTGGTTTTGATTTTGAATATTTTCTGCAAATGTAGTGCATTTCACAAATATCTTGTCATGAAAAGCATTTACTATATGCAGATCCATGCAGAAATTAGTGCATTCTTAGATGAATAAAGCTACTTAATTATAACAAAAATATTTAGTGCTATATACTGCTGTATTTTAAGTGCACCAAAATTTTTATTGCTGATAAATGCTTTTACTTTGTATTATTTATTTTCAGTGTTGAAGCAAAATCTGTAACTAGTCAGAAAATTGGTGCCATTACTCCTGGTACTCCTTATGTATGGCCAGAACCCTCTTCACAGCCAACCAGATAATTTTTTGTTACTTGAATATGAATTTGTAGTATGCTGTTATATGCAATGTTTATTTGATAGGAATAAATGTTTATCCATAGTATTTTTGTGATTTGTTTTATCTTTACTTTTGGTTTATCTCAGAATATGTTCTTATATACCTGAGATGTCCGACTTCCAAAGAATTTCTCCCCCCTCCCAGAAGTAAACTGGCAGAAAATTAACTATTGCCTATTTAATTGAGGTTATTGCTATCCTGTTATATCTTCTGTTATGTATTACCTCTTTCCAGTTTTGTTTCTTGGTGGACTGCAGTGATGAATCTCGATAGCAATATGCAGAACAGCAGCCAGAACAGAAGCACTTAGTGGCATCACCACATGAGCCAATCTCAAGATGGTGAATCTGCTGTATAATAGAGAAAGCAATAGCTAATGTGTAGAGCTTTGTTGGCATGCACCATTTTTTATCGCTGATTTGGCTTGAGGTCCACATTTCTTGAGCTCCACATTAGTTTCATATTTTCCGATCTTGTATTTTTTCATATTTGAATACGCATTTATTTCCAGAAACAACAACAAAGAAATGTATTAGTAAGACTACATTTAAGATAGATCATTATAGTTTTGTACTATATACATGTAAAATCATTTAAGAAATTTCTTTTTTAATTAGATACTCATGTTTTAAATTTCAAAAATATAAAATTTAATGGATCCCATTTTATTTTTTAAATAATACAATTGCAAATTTTGAATTTCTATTAAAAGTATTGGTTTATTTGTTTTTAAATTGCCCACATCAGCATCACATTGTTATTTATTAAATAGCGCTTATTAAAATTATTTTCTAAATTAAATGTATATTTTATTTCTAAATCCATTGATATGCTGATGATCAATATATAGTAACAAGTATTCAAATGAGGAAAACATATTTTTGATATCTAGAAATATATTTGTGCGCACAATCGCTTTAGTCACTGATATCAAAATGTACATAATTCAATATTTTTTTTAATTATTTAGGAATATTTTGTTTTCACATGTTTTATAGATAGAATTATAGAGTATGTAAGGATCTTATGTTTTACTAACGTTTATTTTATTTTAAATCTTTACTATCACTTCTTATTTCCTACTTCCGGCCAGAATTAAAAGCGTTAACATATTTATGCAAAATTTGTCTGGCGAACGCCAAGTACTTAAGTTGTGGCTTTTTGCCAAGCGAGAGAGAGGAAGGAGTTAGTCGAAGCAAGCCGCTTACCTTAGAAGTTTTACTCAGTTGCTAGTTGCCTTCCAGGCCAGAGGTTTAATCCTCGTGATAATTTTTAAACGTATTGTAGTGTTAAACAGTTCTCTGTACTACATACGGCTTCCTGTTAATATAAGGCCAATCTTCCAGGTTGTTATTATTCCAAAGTTTAAGTTAGAGTTTAGTTTTTATTTTTATATTCTTACGTTCAGACCACAAGTAGTTGGTCTCTGTATTCCGAAGTACGGAAATTATTGTAAAGAGAGAAAAATAAAGGGTTTTGTATACCCTTCTGTGTATCCTGTCTACTTCCCACAGTTATTGAACATAGCTTTAGTAAGCTCTCTGTTCCGAGTCAGGTCCTTGCATGTTCCCGAAAAAAGTAAGACGGAACATTGAACCTGATAGTGGCGCCCAACGAAGAAGAATAACCATGGCCGAGTTTCAAGAAGAACCTGTGATGCCTGCAGAAGAGGCTCAGAATCCAGAAATGCCAGCTGCCGCCCTGGAAGGATTTGGTTACATCGTCCAGACCATGCGCGCTTCGATGAAACCAGAAGCAACATTTAATGGAAACTCACCGGTAACCAGTTTTTTGGAAAAATTGGATGACCACTTCATGCTCTACCCCGTGCACGAGTTTCAAAAAGTTACCTTAGCTACCAGCGCTTTGAGGGGCCAAGCGCTTAACTGGTTCAAATGTATAGGCAGAAGTCTCTTGGGTCAAGCAGGAAGTCCCACCTATACTTACGAAAATTTCAAGACTGCCCTAGTAAAAGCCTTCCCTGTCGTAAGGGATCGTGCGAAATTAGAAACGGAACTTTTCAGCATATATCAGCAAAGAATCGAAAATCTCTCAAGCTTTATTTTAAGAAAAATTCACGTCTTCAAACTCTTGTATGGAAACCGTCCGGATCCTGAGATAATTCAAGTGATTTTGCCGAGGTTACTGCCCCAAGTGCAAGACTTTATTGAATTAAGAAATCCGACTACACTGGAAAAGTTATTTGAGCTAGCAATCCAGTTTGAAAGTAGAAGAACGGCGGACATTGAAAGAAGACGCCAATATCAACAGCGAAACCAATTTGGTGCGCCAAGACTACAGCAAACTCAAGCACACGGCTACGGAAGCAAAGCGAATCAGTGGGCAAGGAAACCCGAGCATTCAAAAACAGCCGGCGAACGTCGACAGTTCAATAGCAATCCAGGAAAAAAGTCTCAAGGCCAGTGGAAAAAGAAGGAAAGCACGGAAATGAAAAATAATTTAAACTAAAACGGATTTCTGCTGACGGGAGGGTGCGGAAATCCGAAGGCCACGAAAACCCCTCTTCCTTCAAGTTAAATACAGTAATGGTGAAAAATTTGACTCTTCCGAAGATTGAAGTGTTGGTGAATAATATCCCAGCCACCGCACTCCTGGATACAGGCGCGCAGTGTTCCTGTGTGGCAGAAGATTTTTTTAGGAAGTATTTTCGTAAATACCGCATATATAATTCGGATAATACGACAGTGTTAGCGGCGCAAGGAGAAAGATGTAAGTGTATAGGTAAATTACCGCTGTATGTCCGTATCAAGGACGAACAAAGTAAAGGTTATGTTTTTCATAGTAAAGAATCTGCAAGCACATATTATCTTAGGAATAGATTTTCTTTCAGAGGCACAAGCAACGCTGGATTTTAATGAAGCGTCCCTTAAGCTGACGAATGAAACCAGTTCGTGAAGAAAAGGCTGAACCGCCGATGTTAAACCTTGACCACCTGCCTAATGAAGAGCAACGAAGAATCCGACAAGTGGTAAGTGAATTTGCTTCGTTATTTAGTGATATTCCAGGATTTACTCAGGTTACTAACCATAGTATTGACACCGGAGATTCAATGCCAGTTCGCCACAAAGCATACCGGTATGATAAGAATAAGGAAAAAATTATAGAATGGCATATCACCGATATGCTACGTAAAAAGATCATAACGCCCATCTCAAGTAGTTATGCTAGCCCGGTGGTTTTATGTAAGAAAAATAATGACTATCCTTTGACACATCCAAAAAGGTGGAGATTCGCAATTGACTACCGTAAATTAAACTCCATAACTAAATATCCGGTATATCCGTTACCTATTATTGAAGAAATTCTAAGGAACATAACATCCACCAAATATATGACGACTTTAGACTTAACGACTGGTTATTTTCAAATAGGGGTTAGGCCTGAGGACGTGCCTAAGACTGCTTTTATAACCAAGTCTGGCACTTATGCATTTTGCGCGTATGCCGTTTGGCCTTTCAGGGGCACCGGCAACATTTCAGCGATGTATGGACATTGTGTTAAGGCCTGTTCTTGGAAAGTCCACATTTATCTATTTAGACGATATCATTATTACTAGTGATAATCTCGACCAACATGTACAGGATTTAAGACAGGTGTTTTCTTTTTATTAAATGAGGCCGGTCTAAAAGTTAATGTCGAAAAGTGCAAATTTGCAGCCCCTGAATTAAAATATTTAGGTTACAAAATATCTCAGAAAGGAATCGAGACAGACGAATCAAAAATAATCGCTGTACAAAAGTATCCGACTCCAAACACGGCGAAGAAGCTCTCTTCTTTTCTAGGACTTTGTTCATATTATAGGTCCTTTATAAAAGATTTTGCAGCTATTGCTGAACCATTGTTAAAATTAAAAAGGAAAAAGGCAAGATTCTCGTGGACGGCCGAAGCCAATAGTGCTTTCGAAAAATTAAAACAAGCATTAACGCAAGCCCCTGTGTTGAAATTTCCTGAAAAGGATGAGAATTTAGAAATTTCAGCGGATGCTTCGGATTATGCGGTAGGAGCGGTACTTTCGCAAAATCAGCAGCCCGTGGCATTTTTTAGCCGAACTTTAAATCAAACACAAAGAAACTATTCCGCGACCGAGAGAGAGGCACTTGCAGTTCTGTTAGCAGTGCAAAAGTTCCGAGTCTATTTTGGAAAGGCGCCAATAACAGTGTACTTCTGATCATGCGGCGGTAACTAGATTGTACTCAGGGAAAAACTTATCCCCAAGGTTAATAAGATGGGCACTCAAGCTACAAGAATATAATCTGGTAATCAAGCATACCCCCGGAAAGGAAAATATCGTAGCAGATGCCCTATCCAGAATTAAAATAGATGAAGAAGGTAATACTGTAAAGGTGGCAATGCTCACAGCATGTACAATAAATTCCCGAGAAACTGTAATAACCGAACTGGGTAAGGATCCTGAGTTTGGAAGCATTTATGAGTATTTAAAGGATCCTGAAAATTTTAGCCACCAAGATATTGTGGCGATAAGAAATAGGGCGGCCCATTACGAACTAATAGATGGTCTATTATTTTATACAAAAACTACGAATTCCAACAACGAATTTCGACCTGTTATCCCAGCTAGTCTTAGATTAAATATCCTGCAGGAGCTCCATGACAGCCCTTTAGCTTCTCATGCTGGTATTCGAAAAACTATCCAACGCGTACGCGAGGCAGTCTATTTTCCTGAACTGCAAAAGTTAACAAGGGCGTATGTCCAGTCCTGCCCAACATGTCAAGCAGTTAATTATATTAATTTCCGCCCGGCCGGGTTTCTAAATAGTATTAAATCCGAATTTCCAAATGAAATAATTGGCATCGATTTATTGGGCCCTTTCCCAAAAAGTCAGTTAAATAAAAGTCGCTATCTCCTTGTTATGGTTGATCATTTTAGTAAGTGGACCGAAATTGTTCCCTTAAAACGAGCCTCCGCGAAATTAGTTACTGATTCTATTTTAAATAAATATATTTTAAAATACGGGGCGCCCCTAAAAGTTATATCGGATAATGGTCCTCAATTTGTAAGTAAT